GTTAACTACCTCTCCAGAACATGGCCCGACGAGGACACGTAGTTTGCTTTTCCCTGAGACGGCGACGGTTTCGCAGATGGAGGAGGTTTATCCATGGTTATGTACTCGCTCGCTTCTGAGGGGAGGTGAGGTTCAAACAGGCAAGCAGGAGTTAAGAGAGGTCGCTTGTCGTCGTGTCAAAGTTGGGGAGACTCGAGCTTGAGGAGTGTCGAATTGTTTGATTGGAGGGAGAGAGAATATACAGTTGTACCGAGTACAGGTGGATGATAGAGGGGAGGTCGAGGTTACGAGGAGATAACACCGTGGTTGGAATGTGGTCTGTTTGAAGATGAGGAGAGGCGAGAAAGACAGGCGAGCAAAGCCAACAGGGCGCAGTAGGCAGATTCCCCCGCCTGCAAGGCTGAGACTCGACAACATCTGGGGCAAGGCTGGACATCGACAACCCACGATATGCCAGAGTACAAGGTACTTTACCCTCTACACATATTTAGCAAAGTCTTTTTTGTTATTACTTTTTCGAAATCGTCCAAGATCATGGTCTATATTCATGGCCAATGTGTCTGCTAGGTAAGCTCACGCAAGAGAGCTTGTGACCATGACTGAAGATGGGGTGAACTTTTTGGGCTTTCCGCGACTTTCTGCAGATTACATACACTCCCACCAGGAATGTATCCCCCCTTCACGCGCTGATCACTGATGAGATGGCGCCCTCACAAACCCAGCCGCTCACTCGCCATCCTGGCCCCCTTTACGCGGCTCGCGATCTTCTGAAAGGCGACCTCGCGCGCAAAGTCCGGGTTGTTCTTGTGCTTGGGCTTGACGTCGATGCTGAAGGGGCTGAAGCCGCAGTCGTCGGTGGCGCCCAGCTGGTCCGGCGGGATGTACTTGGCCGCCTCGATGAGGGCCTCGCAGACGTGCTCGGCCGTCTCGACTTCCGGGTTGAGCGGGTTGACGACACCGACAAAGGCGACCTGCTTGACACCCCGGGCGTCGCGGCGGATCGTGCGCCCGATCTCCTCGTACACTTTGGTCTTGTTCTTCTCCGACGCCAGCTGGATCAGGAAGTAGCCCGCGTTCATCTGGAACAGCGACGGCAACAGTTCGTGGTAGTCGACGTCGGCCGAGTGAACCGAGTCGCAGTCCCCGCCGGGGCAGGTGTGGATGCCGATGTTCTTGCGTTCTTCGGGTGTGAATCGGTCTGGGGAGTTCATGTCAGTACCACATCAAAAACTTGTATACCAGTCAAAGTGCTGTTGGACAACCTCTCTTTGTGTTCGAGTCTACGGCTAAAAGGACTTTCTTCTCGCCTTGAACATCATAGGTACCAGGCTCTCACTTACCGAGCACCTGGTTGTTCAGTTCAATGAACTTTTGCAACAAATGCTTCCCCGTCCAGGGATTTCTCGTGTCATTCTTCGCGGCCAGTCTACCCTCGGTAAAGTCGATGGACACGCGCTTGGCCCCGGCGGCGAAACAGCCGCGGATGTCCTTTTCGCACTCGGCGACGACGTCCTTCTCAAAGTCCTCGCGCGAGTATCCCTCGACGGATCCGTCGAGCGGGTACAGCAGGTACATCATGGACGGGGCGATGACGGCCTGTTTCATGGCGTGTCCACCAGCCAGGGGCATCGACCGCTTCAGGTTCTCGTAGGCGTACGTCTTGTACCGAAAGGGGCCCTTGACCAAGCGCGGCAGCTGGCGGTGGTGGCCATCCTCGAAGATGGCAAAGTACTGCCCGTCGGCGGCGAGATTCTCCGACAGACCCGTGCCTCCGAGGGTGTCGGTGATGGGGTACGTGGCGAACGAACTCGCCCGCTGCTCGCCGTCGGTGATCAACGCCTCCCCGGTCGCGGCGAGGTTTTTCAACGAGTCCTCGACCGCCCGGTCCTGGGCCTTGACGAGCTCGTCGCGCGTGATGGTGCCGGCGTCGTAGTCGGCAAAGGCCTTTTGGAGGTACGCCGGTCGAGGAAGACTCCCGACGAGTTCGGTGGGGATTGGCATCTTGGATGTTGACTTGTGTCTGTAATCAAGAGTTGTCCTGGAGAAGAGAGAAATACAAAAGGACTTCGAGGAGAGTCGTGAGAATAGAATCGACCGTGTGCTGCTGGCTAGCACCCAAGATTTTCCTTTTTCTTTTCCTTTCCCCGCCCTGGGTTCTCACATGCATGACGCCGTTCATCTCTGTTGACGCCGATTCCGCTGGAGCTTACCATTGGACGAGGGAGAGGAGGAGGTCCCCAGTTCCTCGTGTCCAAAAGTTTGTGAGCCATTCGCACTGTAACCCCCTCCAAGTTGTGTATACGTATACCGGATGGACATGTAGTGTTCTCATGTCAAACTACAAAGTCATGAAGTCTAGGAGAATTCCTGGAGATACAAATCCACTTGTCCCGTCCCACTCCCCACATCCTACACAACCTGACACCAGCCCCGCCTCGATACTACAGAGGAATATTCTATACCCCCTCAAGCCCCTTTTGGCCCAACAGCCTCGTGTTGTGGGGAATTCAGTCATGGTGGTGGTGGTGGTGGTGGGACATGTGGGTTCCCGACAGTGGGTAAATATCCTTCTACGAGTTCTATACGAGGTATACAAGTACCGGGCACGTGTGTATAGACACCTCTCGCTTCCTGAAGACCCTTAATGATTGGATTGAAAATCTGGTAGAAAACCTCTGCTCAAAGCGAGCCCGTTGATTTTATTGTACAGAACATAGTAGACACTCTTTCCCCCAATGCATTTCCATTTAAATTTCCCATTTCACGGGCTGACATACTCTTCAGCACCCGCCCATTTTCCTTGTTCTAATCAGATGCCAGAGACCCAGCCCACGGCTGCCGTTACCATTAACATGCAATAGACCGTCATCCGTTCATTGTTGAACTCCTTCGGCAGAGCATTTGAGCTTGCAAGGCCGCTATTGTGCCGCAGCTCCTTCGCCACGGATTCTCTTCCCTTGCCCACCATTGTCCGTAATCTCGCCATCCTCTCGAGCTCTCTTGTTTCCACCACCGGGAGTAAATTGAGCGGCTTGCGGGTTCAACGCTCCTCGGTTCGGACTATTGGCCCCTCCACCTCGGCCTGTCTGTTGATTACCACCGGTGTGCACATTTGGGCCACCACCGCGGCCGCCTCGGGGTGCTCCACGTCCTCTTGGGATGCCGCTTCCTCGACCACGATTCGATCCACCCCGCGGAATACCAGACTGAAGTTGGTGCATCAAGGCCGCCCCGGGTTGAGGCTGTTTTGCAGGTTCGGATTGACCGGATTGAGCGAGCTGAGCAGGTTGAGCGGCCTTAGGCGGTTGAGCAGATTGAGCAGGACTGGCCTGTGGCGCAGGTTGCGGGGGTGGGTTTGGCTTAGGTTGCTGCGAAGCAGGTTGGGCTGCTGCTTGTTGCTCGGGAGCCGCCTTCTGAGGTTGAGTCGTCTCATCTGCTTTGACAGGGACGTTTGGCTTCGCGCTGCCTTGTGCGGCTGGAGTGGCCGGAGTGGCCGGAGTAGCTGGAAGAGCTGGCGGAGCTGGAGGAGCTGGCCCAGCAGCTGGCTTTGGTGCTGCTGGAGTGCCCGTAGCTGTGGGTTTGGCGTCTTTGGCAACTTGCCATACTTCCCCGACCGGCTTTTCAGGGGTTTCCTCTGCTGCTTTTCTCACCACGTCCAGTTTCGCAGTTGCCAGAGCTGCTCTGTTCTGAGACATGTTAAGTTTGACAGTTCCTCGCTTCTCTGCCAACTGCTCAGCATTTCTGACTTGCTCTTCGATTTTCTTCGCCGACTCTTCGTCGAACTGGAGTTTCTGAGTCTTGAGCTCCTCTTCGTGCTTGCTGGTCATTTCTTGCTTTTCCTGAGCGAGCTTCTCTTCATACTGTTTGATCAAAGCTTCTTTCTCTGTCTCAAACTCGGCCTCCTTCTGCTTGATGACCGCTTCTTTCTCGGCCTTGAGCCGCTCTTCCATGTCCTCAGGCAGTTCCGCAGGAGTCCCTTCGTTCTGGGAGCTCTGGGATGCCGCTAGTTCTTTCCGAATGTTCTCCCTTTCTCTCTCCAATCCCTTGTTGATGTTGTTTCGGACAATGCGTCGCACAATTTCGTTCTTGTTCACGAGTAACTTGACTTTCTCTTCTGACAGAGACAGCAACACCTCGTCAGGAATCTCGCCGTTGGTCACAGGAGCAGGGGCGCCTGTTGGTTCTTCGGACGGCTTCTGCAGCTCGCTGGCAACAGGCACGGACGTAGCTCTGAGCGTCTCAAGTTCCTGTTGGTGCTGAGCATTCAGCTTCGCCGTCAACTCTTCAAGAGCAGCCACTTTCGCTTGCTGGGCTTGTTGCTTAAACTCGGCCAGCCGCTTATTGAGGATGGCCTCATTGGCTGCCACTCTTGATTTGAATCTCTCCTCCTGTGCAGAGTTCAATTCGTCCAGTTCCTTGGTCTTCTCTGCCAACGACTCCTCCAGTTCTTTGATCCTAGCTGCCAGTACGGCTGTGTCGGCGCCAGTTGTACCGCTCACAGCTGAAGCGTCGTCAGTTGCCGCATGTTCGCCATTGACTTGAACTGGTGCCGCTGGAGGAGGTGCTTCAGTGGCTGCGAGTTGTTCCTTCAGTGAATCTAGCTCTGTGTGCAACGCATCTCGTTCGGCCACGAGGGCGTCAAACTCGACCTTTCTCTCGCGTAGAGTATTGTTTTTCTCTTTGAGGACCCCTTTGAACTGCGTCTCCAATCTCGTCTTCAACTCGCCTTTAGCAGAGTCGACTGCTGCCTGTGTGCTCTCGATCTGTGCTTGAAGCGCTGTACGAGCCTCGTCGCGTTCGGCAACTGCCTTGTCGAGCTCTACCCGGACCTCGTCACGCTCTTGCTCGAGGGAGGTCATCTTCTCTCTAAGAGCATCCATTTCGGCAGGGTCGACGCGGTCGTATTTGGAGAGAATATTCTGGGTGCGTTGTTGCCAGTGGTCCCGGTCTTCTTGGCTCAGTTTCAATTCGCCCTCTTTCAACTCCAGTAAGTTCTCCAGCTCAGCAACACGGGCGTGCAAAGACTGAACTTCGCCTTCTAGCTCTTCCACGCGTCGAGTTTTCTCGGCCAATGCTTGAGTGGCTTGCTTTGCTTCTGCTCGCAGCGTAACACTACTTTCGCGGAACAGGTTCAACTCATTCAGAGTCTCGATAAGCTTGTTGTGGCTGAGAGCATTGCGTTCAGCATCGGCCTCAGATCGTCGTTGTTGGTCGAGCTTCAGTCGCGTCTCGTCCAGTTGCGACTGTGCAAAGTCTAGCTGTTGCCGTAGCCTCTTGGCTTCTTGGACCGAGAGCTGGTATTGAACATCGACGATATCCTTCTCCCGCCGGAGGTAGGTAATGACTTCTTGCAGTTTGTCAAGCTCCGCGGAGGGCTGGGCAGGCGCTTCTCCATTCACGTCTTCTGCCAGGGCTGCACGATCACGTTTCAGAGCCGTAATCTGCTGAGTAACGCTTTCAAGTTGGCCGTGTAATAGGCTGTTCTGCTGGGCGAGCTCCTCACGTCGTTTTCTGAGGTCTGCAAGCTCTCTCTCATACCGTTCTCTCATGTCCTCCCAACTGGCCTGTTTCTTCTCAAGATCGGCCTTGGACGTCTCGGCTTGTGTTCGCAGGTCAACCATCTGTAGTTTGAGTTGATTGGCTTCGTCTCTGACAATGTGGAGTGTCTTGGCTGCTTCGGCGTGCTTCAACAGCTCAGTCTCATAGTTTTGTTGAGCTTCTGTGGCAATTTGAGCTTGAATTTTGGAAGCCTCAAGATTGAATTGAGCTTGCTCTGCACTCTTTTCCGCCTCTTCCTTCAGCCGCTCAATCTCGGATTCGAACCCTGCCTTCTGCTCATCGAGTTTTCGACCAAACTCGGCTTGTTCGTCCCGCAGGCGTGACAGTTCTTGATTGGTGGTATTGAGTTCAGCGGAAATATCCTCGATACGTTGCTCGAGATCCTTGATCTTTGCGTCTTTCTCAGCAAGGGCAGCCTCTGTTTCTTCGCGATACTGGTCGTTCGTTTCGCTCAGTTCTTGAAGGCGTTCTTCGCTTGATTGGCTAATGTTCTTGTAGACTTCCACCTGCTCGTTGGCACGTTCAAGTTCCGAAACCTTGAGCTCAAGATCACGCTTGAGTTCCGACACTTCCACAGCAAGTTCTTGTTCCTTGCTCAAAGCATTGTCCTCGGGACCGCTTGCCTCTGTCGTAGGTTCTGCGGGCTTGCTCAGCACCTCCAAGCGCTCTTCAGCAGACCGGAGTTCCACCGTGAGCTCATCAACCCTGGCTTGCAAATGGTCTCTAGCCGTCTTTGCCGATGCCAATTCCTCCTTCGTCGTGCTCAGGCTGGTAACGAGGTCATCGATTCGCTTCTGCGCTTGTTCATGCTCATATTCCCGTCGTAGAGCAGTCTTCTTGGTTCCTTCGATTTCGTCATTGAGCTTTCTCTTGGTCGACTGAAGTTCTGACTCTAGTGACTCAATTTGGGATTGCAGTCGACGTCGTGTTTCGGAATCTGCCTGCTCACGCTCATTGATGATTGTCTGCAGACTTGCGTTGAGCTTATCCAGTCGGCTTCGCTCGTTTCGCAAAGATTCATTATCCTCGATCAGCCGACGTTCGACGCTCTTCCACAAGTCTTTTTCTGCCTTCAAATTCGCTGAATCGCGGCGCAGGCTGTCCAGAAGATTACGCGCCTCAACAAGCTCTTCAGCAACTTGCTGGGTCCTGAGCTCATTTTTGGTAGCATTTTCCATGGCGATGTATGACCGCTTCTGGACCTCACTGTTTTCGTTCTTCAGAGAGTTATAATTAGCTTGTAGCATTTCATATCGCTGGTTTGCAGCCGTCAATTGCCCGACAGTCCGACTGATTTCGGTTTGCAGCTGAGAGTTCTTCCTGCTCAGCTCGGCGACCTGATTTTTGAGGGCAGTGTGGTCAGTCGAGGCTTCCTGTCGATACGAATCGAAATGATGTTGAAGATCTTTGAGTAGCTTGGCGTAGTCGGATTCGCCGCCAGTCACTGAGCCTGCTGGAGACTCTCCACTGGGGACTGGCAACGATCGGGAGAAGTCGTTCGGTTGAACCTGGCTAGGCAAGTGACCTCGCCTAGTCAGCATGTTCCGGAACATGTCTCTTTCCTTGACGAAGCTCTTGGTCTGGGCAACCATGGTCCTCAGTTCGTCCTGGTATGAGGCAATTTGTGCGCGAGCCTGTTCTAGTTCGCGACTGAGAGCATGATTCTGTTGTTCTCGATCCTTCGCTTCGTTGCTCTCTAATTCGCTAACTAGATTTCGGATCGTCTTCAGCTGATTCTCATTCTGTTGCTGCAGTTCGGTGATGTTTCTGAAGACAATGAGTCGTTGGTTGATTAGTTGCTGATTTTCGGAGAGATTTGCCATGTCCTGCGACATTGCTGCCTCACTCTGTCTCTCCAACTCCTCAAAATCTTCTCGAGTGAGGGCTTCGCCTCGTTCGCGCACATATTGCTCGACGAGAAGGTACCGAATTTCTGAACCCTTGTCTCGAAGCTGTTGAGCCAGAACTTCGACCTCGCGTGATTTGCTCTCAAGTTGGCCTCGGCAGTTCCTCAACTCCTTCACGGTGGTATCTCGCTCAGCGTTTGTCTTGTCGACAATCGCGGACATCTCGATAACTTCGCTCTGCAATCGAGCGTGGTCAGCGCGTAGCTCTTCAATTTCAGGCTTGTTGTTTTCCAGTTCGTCGACCATAGCGTCAAGGTTCTCCTGCAACTGCTCTCTAGCACGCTTCTCGCTGGCTAGTTCAGCTTCAAGCTTCTTGTACTCCGAGAAAAGTTGAGTCATGGTCATCTGGGACTTTCCTCTCGATACGGATGCTGGAGAGAAAATACCGCTGGGGGTTCCAGGTCGAAGCGGTGTCGTGATGCCTGAGCCGTTCGTTGCACGTTGAGGAGTGCTCTGTCTTGCCGTTCGAGCCTGCTCCAGTTCACTTGACATCTGTTGCAGAGACTCCTCGAGTTCGGCCACACGATGTTCAGCAGCGACCCGGTCGTTGTGCTCGGTTTCGATCTCGGCGCGGATGGTGCCAATCTCTTCAGCAGCCTCCTCGCGGACTTCCTCCAAAGCAGCAGAGAGCTCTTGGACGCGCTGTTTAGCTGTCTCGGCAGAAGCCGCTTGCAGCTCAGCCAGACGGTTCACGCTCTCCAGTTCCACTCTGAACGCATCCTCGGCGGATATCTTTTCTTCTCGCAGCTTCTGCATTTCCTCCAACGTTTCTTCAAACCTGGCTGTCTGCTCCTCCAGGCGTTGTTTGAGCGAAGTCTCGGAGCGTCTCAGAGTTTCAGCTTCAGATATGTACTGCTCATTCAACCTTGAGAGTTCTGAGATCCGTGCATTCTTTTCCTTCCGGAAGTTGGTGTGCTCTTCGGCCTTGATCTTCCGCTCAGTCTCCAGCCATTCATTGTTTTTCTTGAGCATTTCAACTTCTTGCTGGAGTGACTGCTCTTTGAATTTCGCACTCGCAACGGTCGCATTTGCGGACTGCACCTGCAGCTCCAATTGGTTGATTTCTTTTCTGAATTCGGCAATCCTTGAATGCTGCGTCGAAAGGTCCTCGGAAAGATTCTCGTACGCGGCATTCTTAGCTTCGAGCAAAGCCAAGGTGTCCCTGTTGGACGCTTCTAGGGAGGAGATACGTGAAGTGAGGGTATTGATTTCGGAACTCTCATTTGCTTTGGCAGCACGGTATTGCTCGAGTTCAGTCTCCAATCTTGAACGTGTATTTTCTGTGATATACATGTCAGCAAGTCTCGCAAGAGACAGTGAGAATTATCATCATCGTACCCGAAGTTTGCAACTCGACGCGAAGTTTACTTGACTCCGCAAGGGCCTTGTCGCGCGAGTTTTGTAAAACTTTTGCCTTGGACTCACTTGTACGAACAACGGTTTCGAGTTCGATTTCGAGTTTGACCTTTTGAGACTTGGTCTGCTCAAACTCTTTCACCTTGGCCTCAATCGCGCGAAGAAGGGCAGTGACGAGCTCGGGCGTTGGCTGAGTGATGAGGGACGTGAGGGACGTTTCAGGGAGCGAGGAGAAGGCAGAGATGCCCCGAACGTCCACTTCGGCTGCCATCGTGATGATGGAGGGTTTGAAGAGTCGTAATTGTTTCGTCAAGGGCGGAGGAGGGACAGATGAAGTATAAGTGAAGAATGCGCCCACCACAAGCGCAACTTCAGGGTGAGATGAAAGTCACTTCGGCCCGTCTCACCATGGCGCAAGAAGCTGCTTGCGCAAGCGACGGATAAGAAGAAGAGAGGGAGCGAACGTGGTGAATGGTGAGAGGTGGAATGTTGCAGGGCAAGATGAAATTGGAGATGCACGAGAATGAATCTCTAAACAGACAGAAGGCGGGCGGCGCGGGCAACTGAAAGAACGTGACTTGGGGGCTTTCCCACGGATCTCCTTGTAGGCGTTCGGCTAGCCTGCAGGAGCCTAGTTATGTAAGCCTACTGGCCCAATCGTTTCCGTAGTAGCACCTGGGGCGTCCAGACTCGCTTTACCTGCCACCCCACTTCTCACCACGCCTATCAAATCCGTTTAACTCACATGCATGACTTAACAGCCACGGAGAGGATCTCGCATGCTTGATCAGCCTTCTTCAACTTCATCGCTCATTCATATGATCAGTCATCTTCGACAGGCTCCCTCGCTCTGTCACCTGCTCGCTACTTCGAAATGAGATAGATTCTCTACCGCAAACGGAAGCGGATCCTTTGACTAGGCCTCCCTTTCCCTCCCTCCCTCACGCACGCACGCACGCACCCACCCGCACGCTCATTCCGCCGCAACCAGGGGGAATCACCAAACAAAGAGAAGCACATTCGCACTCTGAATAGCCTCAGCCACCGAATATGACATCCTTCTACGCACCACCTGTGACCGATCCGGCGGGGACAGATGTGCGCACCAACGCTGTGTACGCCGTTGGCCGCTTGCGCGAAAAGTTCCCCGAGCGCATCTCCGCCTCTGACCTGATCACCTTTGTCTTGCCCGTCCAGAGACGGGATGAGACCACTGTCCAGCATTTCCTGGCTGTCCTCAACGCCAACTCAAAAGTCACATATGACAAGGAAACAGACAGCTTCCTGTTCAAGCCGGAGCACAACATCACCGATGCCGACTCCCTACTCCAGTTCCTGCAGAAGCAGGAGACGGCGATGGGGATCCAGGTGTCGAAACTGAAGGATGGCTGGGCTGATGTTGAAGACGCCATCGACAAACTCGAGACCGAGCACCGATTGCTCGTAACTCGCAACAAGAAGGACCACCACCCGCGAATGGTCTGGATCGACGACCCTACCCTCCACGCGCCGTTAGATCAAGAGTTCAAGGACCTTTGGAACCAGATCCCGTTGCCGAGCGTCGAGGACACAATCAAAGAGCTTCGTAAGATGAATCACAAGTCTACGGGAGAGCCGGCTCGGACAGATCTGGCAGCGAAACCTAAGAAGGAGAAGAGGAAGGTCCGCAGAGGTCAGAAGATCACGAACGTGCACATGCAGGGTCTATTTAGGGATTACTCGGAGAAGAAGCCAGAGGTGAAGAAATAAGCAGGGACGGTGGCGTTATCATCTTGGTGGTGTTGTGCGATAACTGCACCATGATAATCTGTGCATGCTGATGTTGGGTTTTCTGCCCTTCTTTCCATGCAATGTGCACCTTTTGAGCGCGTCGCCACTCCCGGTGCTGGCCGACCACCAGATCTTATGCTCTCAACCCAGAACAGTTTCTCTTGCATCCACAAAAGTCACGGCGCTATCAGGCTGGCGTTTTCGAGCTGGATAGGGAGCGGGCTTGCGGACCTGGGCCTTTGAAGCAGGGAAAATTGAGGACAACCGAAAAAAGGATACCCCCAAAATATATCAACCAGCTTTTTAATTAGCGCCTTATAGAGCACGGAATCATAAAGGTGTTGGCAAATAACAGAGAAGTTTTGTACCATTTTCAGAACAGTCAAAGTGTTCCATGCCCACACATGAGTAAATCCATTCATGGCGTAGCAGACCATACCATACCATGCACATATCAAGATATCAAGGTATCATATTCGGTGATATTTTCCCCTGGACGCCGTGCAGGTAAGGCAGTAAGGTAAGTACATACATACATACATACACAGACGTTAACGGTGTGAGTGAGGCATCATCATCCGTCATGCCCGTCCCACTTGACCGCCGTCTTGAAACAATGAACATTGAACATTCGAATATTTGGAACAGGCCGTGTGTGTATAACTAACCCCCAAAAGTCAAAGGCTAACCAAACATCCAAACAAGAATTCATCAGACAGACTGGACGGTCCGTCAGCTTTTCGGCTCGACGTTGACACTGACGTCGACCATGCCCTCTTCTCTGAAGCGCGAGATGCTCCGACTCCGATCTCCGTTGACGCTGCGCTGGTCGACGCTCAAGGCGCGTGTTCTTGACCCCTGGACCTCGCTTTGGCTGGTGAGACTGGCCCCGCGTTCCTGGCCCATCGGTACCGCCGGGTTGTAGTAGCTCGCGGCCTCGCCTTGCGCTTGCGCGGGAAGTCCTCCGGTACTGTTGGTGGCTTCCTCGTACCGGGGAGGCGGGGCAGAGAAACTGGCGACGCTGGCCGGTCGTTGCAGGTTCAGGTTGTTATCGTACCCGAAGCCGTCCTGCGTGGAGCCGACGCCGCCGTGGTCAGAGGCGTTGGGGTCCCACATGACGATGGCTGGTGCTTCTGCATTGCCCAGCAGGGACTGGTTTTGGTCGGCCGTGGCGGTATAACCCCCACCACTACCGGCGCCATATTTCAAGGGATCGGTTGCTGGCGTGCCAGTTGTGGGGTTGTTGGATGTTGCAGATCGGAGGTTGATCGACCCATTTGCGGCTCTGTTGCGACGGAGTCGAAGGCGTCTGAAGACGAAGAAGCCAACAATGAGCCCAACGATGATAACTGTTATCACTATTCCAATAATTGCCGCTATCGGGATTCCGCTCCCTTTACCTGGGCCTCTGTCGTCGCCGAAATCGCCTGGGCCACCATTCCCACCAAAGCCTTGTCGAGGGAAGAGATTTGACACGGCGGGTGCCATTGAGTCTGTTGCTCAATTCAACGAGCAAACAATTCTTTCTGCTGAATTCTTCGGCACAAGCTTTTGCGATTTAGAACTTGGTGGTGTAAGTCTGTACCAAGTGAACTGAGAGAAGCGCCTGTTGCAATGCGGATTGAAAGCTGAGCTCTAGAGTCGGTGCTGGGATGATGCTGTGTGGTGCACTAGTTGAACTCAGTTGAAAGACAAATAGCCGAGACAATGTAGCCAAAGTAGAAGCGAAGAAATGCTGCAGGAGACAAGAGCGTGTACTCCTAACTCCTATGTACGTACATATGTTATCGGTAGGCAGTCAAAGGAGAGAAGAGCTAAAGGGAGGGGAGGAGGAGAGTGAGAGACAGCGGCCGAACACGAGGCTCCTTATTTGGTCGCGAGAAATAGATACCACGGCAAGACAAGCCTCCAAAGATGTGTCCGACTCTTCCACGTGAGACTCAGCCGAGCTCCAGCGGAACTCACGAAAACAGCAAACCAGAAAGGCAAAAGCAAGGTGCAAGTAATAGGAATGAAGAAGAGAGAAGAACCATGTTCGGAGAGCGGAGGGGGCCTTAGGATCCAAATCCTAAGCAAATCCCAGGCTCGACTATTTTATTCGGGCACATGCAACATGTCCGGCTTAGCGTGAGGCTGAGACTGGGGGCGATGCGATTTGGTGATAGCGGCTGCTGAAAGCGACACCATCGGCCTTGTCGAGGCGTCCGTCGAAGATGCGGGTTGGCGCAGAGGAGAGACGAGCGCCTGAAGAGGTACGAGGACATTATTGAACCTGGCTGAAGAGAAGCCTTGGTGGCCTCTTTGCTATCTTGGAAGGTTAGCCAGGGTCCAAATCTGACTGATTGTTTTTTCGCCTGCATTCGGGGGGCGACGTGGATTTCTGAAGACGAGGTTGATCCCAGGGGAGGCAACCACAAAAATTGGCAAAATCCGACACAATTACCCCCCAAGCCTGCGCCTTGCCGCCCGGGGGATGGAGATGTACGAGTCCTCCTAGTCAGAGTGGTTCCAGCCCTGTTATGGAAGGATCGAGCGAGATTGATTCTTGGACAGTCCAAGCTCGAGTCACTTCACGAGGTGAATACCCTGCGGGTTGTGACAGTCATCTGTATAGTTTTGTTGGGCGAAATTTCATTCCGAGTACTAGCAGTATTGGACGAGGAGCAAAACATGGGGAAGCGTCACCAGCGTGAGTTGCAATGATACTCGTATCGTATTAGCCCGTGATGGATGCGACGATGCTATTAAGTGCTGAGGTGAGAAGAGACCGAGAGACCGAGACACAGAAAATGCATGGGAGGAAAAGCGTGTACCTAACAAGCAGGTCAAGCGGCTTGACGTCATCCACAACCTGGCCTCATTTTGTGCTGGATTTATTACTGTGTGACTGGTTGAAGCTGCGCTGCGCATGAGGTTGTCGGTCCCATAAGTTCAGTACATTGCAATCATTCATTGTACGCGATCTTATCTTCATTCCATGTCTAGCAATACGCTCGTGATTCTCATATTCAAAATTCTTCATCAATGATGGCCATTTACCCCGTTGGTCACATGCCCGTTGCCATTCCTCACCGTCTTCTCCTTCTGCACATAGTCGACCAGGTCTTCGATCGTACAAACCTTCAATCCCCACTTGCGACCGAACTCTAGACACGCATCGCGTCTCATCATACCGGGCTCGCGCATGGCCGCTTGTCCCGAGACAGGCTCTCCGTCATGGACCATTTCGCAGATGACGCCGACTAGGGGCTTGCCCGCTAGGCGACAGAACTCGACCGCTGCTTCGGTGTGGCCCGTTCTCTCCAGGACACCTCCGTCCCTGGCGCGAAGCGGGAAAACATGGCCGGGTCGGCGGAAACTGTCGACGGTGGCTTTCTTGCTGGCAAGGGTGCGGCAGGTCAAGGCACGATCGTGGGCTGAAATGCCGGTGGTGACACTCTCGTCATTCGAGTCAATCGAAATGGTATAGGCCGTACGGTTGGGGTCTTCGTTGTCCACCACCATCTGCGGGAGTGCCAGCTCAACAGCGAGTTGAGAGGTGATGGGAGCACAGATCAGACCGCTGGTGTAGCGGACCATGAAGGCCATCTTTTCGGTAGTGAGATCCTCGGCGGCGATGATCAGATCACCTTCATTCTCGCGATCCTGGGAGTCAAGTACCACAATGAACTCGCCGTTGCGGAACGCCTCGATGGTAGACTCGATGGAGTCGAAGCCCTTGGGCAAATTGCTGGGGGGCTGCATATTTCGTGGGACCTTGGTGAAGCGAGTTTGGCGACTGTAGGAGGCAGTAATGAGCTTTTATGTTCTCGTGAGCAGTCTGTGCTCTTCTTTCCTGTGTGTTTTTACTCCTGTGAAAATGTTCTCCTGTCTTTGCGACGTTCCCTCTCTTGGCTTTCCTGCAGCGAAACAAGGGCCACCAGACAGTGCCTGGGACAGCACTAAATATCCCAAGCGATTAAGTAGATGTAACAGTCCTCCTCCTCACAACCTCTGCAAAAGGCTGATTGTCGAGGGCTCTGAACTTTTCCTCTTCTTTTTTCTTTTGTTGTTGGTGCAGTCCTTCGTAGACCGAGGCCCGCAAATCCAAGAGTCCGAGACGGGGCGCAAAAATAACGGTCGGTCTTTTCTCTTGTTTCTCTTTTCTTCTTCTTTTAAGACACGGCAATAGATACAATAGACTCCGCACACTGGTTTTTTCTTGTCGGATTGGCAGGCCGACGTCCTGTAGATAGTTAGAAAATAAAAAAAAGCACCGGGGGTATCCTTGGTGGGTTTCGTTCACGGAGGCAGCATCGAGAGAGGTTTGAGGGAGGGAGAGGGAGGGAGGGGGGTGTGGGAAGTCTCGGAATGATATACTGGCGGCGCCGCTGGCTGGCAAAACTTCTGGAGAAAGTCGAGAACAACCAAACGCCCACGTCCGGGCAGATGGGTCAGCCTAGAGGCCGTGGCGGTCGCTAATACCGCGGTCCATTTGTCATGTGCCCGTCAAGAATTGGTCAGAAATCTTCAAGCGATGGTTGTCTTGGTTCGCAGTAGTAGCAAGTCAGCGCAGTCAGTGGTACAGACTTTTGGGGGATGAGGAGTTTTGCCTCGGCCGGAAACACTCGGGCGAGATGCTTCTGGCGCAAAAGCCAAAATGCGAGCGAAAGAGAGAGTAAAGCAACTCTGGTGACATCCAAGTCACCCAGTCAAGTCCTTAGCAATGGCATTGTTCATGGTCTGGCACTCTGGGCACCTGCGGGACCGCTTTTCTTTCAAGAACCGAATAGTGTCTTGGTCATACAACTCCAAGACGCCCAAAGCAAGCAATGCCTTCCGCTGAGAAGCCCCTCCCATTCATTATTCTACCTGAATGCGCTGCCTCCAGTCGTATATTCATAGCCTCGTGCCAAATCAACAAGGGTGTCTATCCATCGCTTGGGCTTGAAAACGAGTCCATACCCATCATTTCGTCCGCAGCACCGAATCAGTCGGCAAAAACGTCGATTTTCCGACCTCTTGGACCTTTCGATGGTGTCTCGACCTCGGTAATGTCCTCTTCGGCCGGTTCTCGAATGGAGTCTGAATCCCGCGCATAAGAGAAGAACCGTCCATCTCTCACTCGCTGCCAGATCTGTGCCATAAAATTGGACTCATTCAATTCGGTCGCAGGTGCACCCGCCTTGTTTGGTATCACAATGATTGTGTCTGCCTCATCTGAAGGCAGCGCTCCCTGCATGTCCCTGTCTGCAGGACTGTTGGGTAAAGTTGGGTTGTCCAGATAGTTATTTATAAATATCTCCCTCTTCAGTTTGCTCCCGGATCGAACCCCTGGTGTGAAAGGCGAGAAAGCAGGCCGCTTTGGTGTCCTTCGCTGAAAACCTCGGACGGGTGTCTGGTCGTTGGCCCTTTCAGCAGTGGTAGGAGGGCCAGGCGTCAAAGGAGAAAATGGTGGGCGGATAGGCGATCTTCGCTTGCTCGGACTTACAACGCCGGCCTCATCCTCTGTCCCTGTCCGATGCGGACACGTGAAAGGTGAAATTCGGGCTCTATTCGCCTGTGCAAGAGGTGAAAGTATTCCTCGCCATGGGTACTCGGAAGGTATGGTAGCTTTCTTTGGAGCAGGCGTGTTCTTCCAAGGGGTGCCGGAAGAGGCTTGTCTGGCTTTTGCAGGACGAGGGATGTCCACAGATATCTTCGTCTTCTTCTGAGGTCTATTCTCCTTCCCATCACATTCTTCCACGGACTTTCGTTTTCTTTTGGGTTGCTGCGACTTCGTCACTGCCAGATCGATCTCGCCTTGTCGGAGCCATAGATCATGTCGGCGTCTCTTCAGATCGTCCACCCAATCGTCGCAGTCCATTGCGATAAAGTCGTCGATGATGCCGTCCCACACACTCTCTGCTGGCCGAGTTCGATTGACAAAGATCACCCTTCCTTTGTTATTCTTGTGTGAATGAACAGCTTTTGCAAATTCCCGCACAATCTTCTGGAGCCCGAACACTTTCAGCGATGTTCCCATGATGATCAACACGTCAGGTTGACAGCTGGCGTCGAAAGGGATCAGGGGTGTGAGCAAAGTGTTAGAAGGATGATCTTCTCCATAGAGGACAATGTTCGGTCGAAGTGCGCCCACCGCAAGACCTCTTTTGCCGCTCGCTTGTCTTTCGTCACTCTTGTCTCTGCATCTTGGGCAGTCCGCCGCGGCTCCTTCCATATAGATCTCGGTCTGCTCGTCGGTCCAGGGATACTGGGTTGAACACATGGTGCACCGTAGCTTTTCCAAGTCACCATGCAGTTGCACGACTTCGCACCCTCCATCGAAGTCGGTACCGGCTGTTAACGTAGGACGCGGAGCCCCGTAGTGCTTCTTCATGAACCTGCGTTTGTTTCCTTTCCCGCGTGCTAGGTCTGTCACAAGCCCTTCTCTTAGCTCGAGACCATCGATGTTCTGGGTATAGCACCTCATCAACCGGCCACCGTCGCGCAGTACTCTGACGAATTTGTGGACGGAGCTCGTGGACCGTACCTCGTCGCGGATCTTTTGTCGGAGCGAAGCGATAAAGTGGTAGAACATTGTGGCGGATTCAGCATGCTGGAACACTCGGGAATCAAACAAATCCTGACCCTTGAGCCTTGACGACGGACTCGACGATACTCTTCTGCTTTTTGATTGAGACGAAGAACCATCCTCAGCCATGAGGTCTCTAAATCGGGTGTGGGTGGGAGTGGACGGCTCGGATGATGGTGGTGTTGGGAGCATGGTCTGCCCGGGGATCATGTTGTAGAGTCCATCTTTGGATCGAAAGTCCTTTGCACAGTTAATACCACACTAAACAAAAGCAGCATCGATACGCACGGGAATGCCGCAGCTGGTACTGATGCCTGCGCCCGTCACGAGCAAGATCTTGTGCGAACCAGCCAGACAGTCTGCAATCTCTTGCAGGGCGCGGTCGTCCTCGCATGTCACTTCTCGAAGTCCCATCCTGTTGGACGTGATGTCGCGCTGTTGTATTGCTGGATTGTCTCACAGTTTGGGATTGGACGCGTCGAGTACTTCAAACAATGAGGTGACAGAAGACAAAGGACAAGTCGGAGGACGCTCGCCAAGTACTGGTAGTGAAATATGTAGTCCAGAAGTTGAAGCTGCCGCTTAGACTCCCGATACTCCGTGCACTTCGCGTCACCACCCACGCGTCAGTCGCGTGCTTAGGCCGGGGAAATGGCGTTGCTGTTTAGGACAAAGAAGACATTGTTTCCTCTTCTAACTCCTCTTTTGTCTGTATAGAGTGCATCAGGTGTCTTGCCATAAATGTCGTGAATCAGAGTGGTGTCAGTCAATTGGGTGTTCAATGGGGAGCTCCATGTTGTTTACAGGCCGAGGCGGTGAATTTCCCGGGTTGGAAGTTTGACGATCCGCCCCTAAAACTAAGCTTTGGTGGCTTTCCACCAACCTTTAGCCATTGAGATCATCTGGTGTCCACTATTATTACAGGGGCCAAGGTACAACAGGAGTTTGACTCCCACCCCTTCCACAACAAAGATGTACACATGTATGAAGCCTCGTGTCAGCCTTGGTCACTCTCAGGCTCTAGTCTCCTCCTCTTCGGTGCGGGCTCAGCAACCGATGCGCTCTCCAAAACCCGTGTTCTCTTATGTCGCTCCCATTCTGCCTCGTATTCCACAGACCATCCCAGACAGTCTTCAACAGCCTTTCTCAGCACGCGCGGTCGACTTCCCAACTCTACGGATGATTCTTCCTTTATGCCTTTCTCCTCTTGAGCTTCCTGGGGCCTGATCAGGGACAACAACCGTGATTCTTCCTGCCTCCGGGCTTCTCGGTCCATTTCTTCCAGGTAGTCATCTTGCTCTTGTTCGAGAAGCTGGATTCGCCTCTCCCTCGGCATCCGCGAGGTTGGATGCTCCTCGGACGATGAACCATAGTCCTGTCTATTAGGATTATCTACCTCTGCACCTTCACTTGCTGCATCAGAGTCGCTATTCTCCGCAGAAGACTGCTCATCGTCATCGGAGCCAGAGTCGTCAAGATTGTCGCTCACAAGATCTTCTGCATCTGAGGTCTCGTCCAATGTTGAATCGCTTCTCCTTGAAGTGGTCGATGTTCTTGAGTCTGACCTATTCCTGGAGCGAGATGACAACATTTCCTCTACTTTCTCGTACGACATGGCGGTCTTTGCATCGACTCCTCTTCGATGTGCGTCGTCCACGACTCTCAGACCGTTTCTCCTTGCCAACCCAATCCAGAAGGTGTCGCAGTCCTTTGTGACCCCCAACACATCCAGAGCTGCATGCACGTCTTCAGATCTCACGAGTTCTCCAGGTTGGTAGTCTTTCGACGCGGCAGCGCGGATGCGAGACTTGGCAATGAAAAGAGCCGACTGTATCAACCGACATGCAAGATTCACAGTCAAATCGTAGAATAGAGTTACACTGTCCAGGGTCAGAGCTGGCCGTTCATCCTCTTCGTCTATATTTTGCCATGAGTCTGGGCTATCAGCATCTCTGTTCATGAAGAAACATTCGCTCAGTTCGAGAAACGTCGAGAGCCGAAAAGCTCGGATTGCTCTGTCCGAAATTGGCGCAGGTGTTTCATCAGACTCTTGGCTGCTAGTGTTGTTAGATGTTGTAAATTCGTCGCTTTTCCGATCCAGCTCTGCCGCCAGCTCGTGATCAATGAACCACAAGTCATTGCGGTTTTGGCCAACGGTAGCATCGTACTGTTCTTGAAACGCTGACAAAGCAGCCGCGGCCGTGTCAAGGACAGCCTCACATCGACGGCCGATCTCAATAGCAGCGGGGATGTCTGCGTGGGAGATGTTTTTAGGTTGTGCCTCAAACAGCTGGCGGTCGGTGTCCTGGCCTCGCAGGTTGTCCAAGTATGCTTTGATCTCAACCTCGGACTTTGTTGCCACCAACGTCGAGAGAGCCTTCAAATCATGCCGGCCTTTCCGACCCAGCGCGTCGTACAACCTAGCTTTCTCGTCAGGTTGCCAAAGGACCGCCCCAAGCTGAGTTGGCGGTAGATCCCCAGCGACATCGCCTTTGTCCTCAGTGCCAAATGTCTCCTTGAATACGTCGAGATACTGGTCCCGGTAGTGTTTGCGAAGTCGTTCCCATTTTCGATAGTGGAACGCGAGCGGAGCAGACGCATCCTTGGACGTTTCGAGTGGCATAACGTGGGCATCTCTAGGTGCCTGATCATCTACATGGGCAGCTTCTGACGAGGGATTGTTGACGTCCGCAGGGTCGCCAGTCTCATCCGGGCTGTCGTCGAGATCCATGCTTGACCCGCTTCCTCCAGGTCATATGGCGTGACACCGACAGCGACCACGTCCAGAAGAGTGAGGCGTCAAGTGACATGTTAGTCCGAGGCTAGGGAAGCCTGCAACATCTCTAAAATGAGATACATGTAGATGGAAAGGCTACAATGTGATTGTGACCGGTACTCGTAGTTGTAGAGGAACGCAGTCTCGTAGACCGCCAAGCCTCACTTGGTAGAAATTTAAGCGGCCTGATTTGATTGGCTATTTCTGTCCACCACCCACTGGACTCTCTTCAACGCACCTTCAACTTCTTCTGCCATCAGAGACTACTGCTCCCCGTCTGCCAGCATACTAGGTATGTACTTGGTATTCCTGACAAATCTCTTTTCGTTCGGACGATCCCAAACTTGTCCGTCCCAGCGAGCCTCCATTTGTAATGGGAATAAGAGCACCTAGGAGGCCTAAAACCTTCGAGTGGGACAGACCAAGAATCGAATCGACTTTTACATTCGGACTCGGGGTATCCAAGGCCCGCTCTTGGAGATCCCAACTCGATATTACCATCACAATCGAAATACGAGTCCTGGTTAGCGCCTCGCGACTGCTCCCCACAATCTGGGTGTGAGGGATCCGTGCCTCGCCACCTCCGGCTGCCATCATGTCTTCAAACGATCTAATAATCGTCGCATAGAGTGTTTTCTCGGACTTAGAAAGATCCACATCACATCAAATACTTCGCTGGAGGAAAATGAGAAGATAAATCCGAGCTGTGCATGTTCAGGGATAGTCCAGCGAGCGTAGGGCGCCGTAGGGGAAAATAGTATAAATGCTGTGCGTGGACGAAGGGTGACATCCCATCTCGAGCTTCCCTACCATCCACTACGTCTGCTTCGTTGAGAAACTTCTCTGTTATACCACTTGGATTTCCTAACTCGCTCCTAAGATATCTCGACAACAATGCTCGTGTTCTTGACCGGTGCTGCCGGGTTCATAGGTCGCGCAACCATCCAAGAACTCCTTGACCACGGTCATCAAGTATTGGGACTCGCACGAAGCGACGCCTCTGCGGAAACCATCTCCAAACTTGGGGCACAGGTTCACCGGGGCAGCCTTGAGGACCTAGAGAGTCTGAAGAGCGGCGCGAAGCAAGCTGACGGGGCCATTCACCTTGCATTCGTGAGAATATCCCATTAACCTGTGGAGGAGCCCGTTTCCCACACTTGCTGACCAGGTGTTGTAGATCCACGATTTCAGCGACTATGCGAAAGCCGCTGCAGTCGACCGAGCCGCTATCGAGGCCATGGGTGAAGCCATGGTTGGTACAGGAAAGCCACTGGTCATCGCCTCCGGCACCCTAGTTGCTGTGAAAGGCGAACTGGCCGTTGAAGACGCCGAGCCTGATCGTGGTACGGCGTTCGAGACGAGACAGGGCGCGGCGGATCTTGTTGTGAAATTGTCAAAGGAGAAGGGGATCCGTGGCTCGATCGTTCGTCTCCCACCCACAGTCCACGGCAAAGACGATGGCGGGCTCATTCCTCGCTTCATCGACATCTCGCGACAGACCGGTTCGGTCATCATCCTGAGCGATGGATCGAGTCGTTGGCCAGCCGTTCATCGCCAGGATGCAGCTGTTCTCTTCCGCCTCGCGCTTGAAAAGGGTACACCAGGCGCCTATTACCACGCCGTTGCGGAGCAAGGTGTTCCAATGAAGGATATTGCCGGGGTTGTTGGCAAGAAGTTGGGGATGCCGGTGGAAAGCAAAACTGCTGAGGAGGCCATGGGGACTCTTGGGTTTCTCGCTTTGGCATTCAGCGCTGATAACCCAACTTCAAGCGAAAAGACGCAGAGGGTGCTCGGGTGGAACCCCAAAGGCTCTGGACAGCCTGGTTTACTAGCAGATATGGAAGCGAACTACTTTTCCTGAGGACGTTCGCATAGGATACGCCTAGATACGAAGCAGATTGGAATGGCCATTCTTTTTACGGAGAGCACTTCTCCTTCCCATCTTCGCCAGTTCCCTGGCTGTCTGTTCCGGGTCATCTTTCCTTTTCATGCCCCAGAACTTTGGAAGGAAATAGTCAGTCGAACACAGAGCTTGCCTTCCGCTTGCTGTGATCAACGCAGGCCGCTCTGATACCGGCATGAGACGTCATGGGGCCTCCCTGCTTCCCTAGACATGGTACGCGCATGGACATGGAAGCGGCTCTCTGAGGTTTGATCGTGGCAAAAGGTCTGCTTCAGGGTATCTGATGCTCCTTCCTTCCACGAAACGTCCAATAGAACGTCGGGTAGATGGACGACTGTGGTAAGAGTGGCTTCCCCAGAGAATGAGTGTTAGACGTACCTACCAATACACCAGAGCGCCTCCTGCCTTGTTGTGCCTGTCCAAAGTCGAGATATTAGTCCTTGCGTTCGTCTCTTTACTTCTCACCTCTCACCACACTCTCTATGCTATGCACCACTCCCTTGCTGTCTAGCAGCATTCCATAACAGACTTTGCTGGGACTTTGTTTCCTGACACCCGGGCCTCTCATTCCATGTGGGTCGTGCTCTTCTTCCTCCAAACCGATGGCGTCGACTGGCTCAGTGCAGTCTAGCGGTTACACCACGCTGCCAGCTGTCAAGAAGATTGCCTTTGGTACTGGTATGTCTCGAGCTGTGGCTTGCTTTCCTGACATGGCTCGTAGCTGTATCGTCGCACCTCGCAATCGGCGTCGTCATCGTTCGCACCCATCCGTCCCTTCAACACTCTGGAGATGCAGCCCGAAGTCAGAAATTGTGGCAAGACCCTACTTGAAGAGCTCATCATTCTTCGGGTGCCCAAAGGCTTCTGTATTGTGTGAGTTATTAACTCACGCCTGGGAGGAGGCAAGTTACGACTTCAGAGCCAAAGAGCGATGAAGAAGTCAAGACATTTTCTGAGGCGCTGGGCTCTTTATAGCCCTTGTAAACTCCGTCGCTTTCAAGACTGACGGGAAGTTTTGGAACCTTTTTTTTTTAGGTCTCTGATCCATGCCTTTCTCTGAATGGTTGGTGCAAATAGCACCCCTAGGCGGAGCTGCGGTGCCAATGGTACGTCTCGGTCACCCATTGGGATGAAGCATTCATATTAACGGTTGGGCATAGGCACCCAAGAGACCTGAAGCGAACAACAACAGGGAGCCAGGCGCTATCGTTTGTTGAGTCCTCCAGCCTCAACCCGCTCCGAATAAATCCAATCTCGTTTGGAGGGAGAGGCTCTTTGTCAAGACGGTTGGTTAGGCAAGAATTGTTGGGCGATACTATGAGTCATGAGCAGAGAGAGAATGCGGATAGTGGTGTGGTGAGAGTTCTGGCTCTACGGGAATTTTGGTTGAAAGTCTTTTGTTGTTGGGACGGGGGCTGCTTTTGCTTTGATCTGCGGCTTTCTGGCTGATCAGTGGCTTGTCAGTTTTGAGTGAAGTAGCACAGCCTTCTGTCAAGCATGTTTGAGAGGAAAATGAATGCAGTATCATAAGGGTTGACAGTAGTTCAAAATTCCAAAGGTCGGCGAGAAGAGATCCCGATCCGATTCCTGATGGTGAATGCTTGTTGCCTGCGCCGAGTAGATGACCACTTCAGGCTTGAATGCCTCTACCTATTCCATGTTAGGTTATCAGCTCGGGCGGTAGCCCGTTTCTACTGCCAAAGGTTCCCACCAAGGCCATAGTCAGGTTCCTCGAAGTCCCAGCGGACGCTGGCATACTTTCCGTTCAGAAACGAAGCCTTATCCGTAACAAGCCACTCGCAAAACGCACCAGTCAACTCGGCCTTGTCGATGGCCAAATAGACATATTTCTCCTGGAGCATATCTGTTTCGACCACTCCGGGATTCAGCGAAATAGCGGTAACATTTGGGATTTTCTGCCGCAATCCGAGAGCTGAATCGTCAATTTAACGAGCTTGGGACAAGGAGTAGGTGGACTGCGTTGGGGCCACAGTGCAGGTAATCTCCTCGACACAGGTTGCACCGAATCAGAATGCTGTAGCTAGGATGGCTGTGAAGAACAGGAGAAGGACGAAAGAAAAAGATCTCTGTAATGCATGAGTAGGTCTATCGGGAGCGCGCTAGGTTGTCGCTTATGCGAAGGGAGGGGGTAGTGCCAAGGCATCAGGGCCTTGGCAACCCACATGGTAGGTGCAGGGGGAGCCAACAGTGGCACAAGGCAATAGTTCAGTAGCGGTTGATCAAGCAGCAAACCGACTTCTCGCCCTCAATCTCTTCCCCCAGCTCCAATACAGCCCGGCCAACAGGGCAGCGCAAACCGCTGTAAGGCCTCCCAACAAGCTCACACCCCCATCGATACCAATACCCTTGAACATCGGTCGTCCCACCAGCACCGCGACGAACGCCAAAAGGGCCCTCGCCACGCTGTTGGCTGCAAAGATGCTCGCTGCATAGCGCGGATAGATGGCCGGAATGTACAAAAAGACCGAGTTGGTCAGGAAATACTGCGCGACCATGTAGAGGAAGATGGCAACGGTGGGAACCATCCAGTGGATAGAGGGTCTAGCTGTCCATGCTACATATATTACCGTTCACACAGGAGAAATTGTAATTAGCATCTTTACTCTCCAAAAATCTCGGTCGACGACATTGGGCAGGGAAGAGTAGAGTAACACAAAACTCACCGAACATGAACAAAGATGCTGGCATCAAAAGGCTGGCAGCAACGCCGGTTTCGAGAAAATTCTCCAGATCGCCGAACGTTTGATCCCGGATTTTGGGCTCGACACGTTTGGACAGCCAGAAGCAGTGGAGTGGGAAGCCGATCACTCCGGCAGGAATGACTGCAAGCCAGATGAGAGACGTGGAAGTTGGCGAGAACCCGTAAATTGGCGGATAGACAAGGGGCAATGACTGAATAGAGTTAGGACTCAGATTTTAGTAGTAATGGTAGAAAAGCCGGAGTGCAAGGGATGGATCACAAGTGGCGTACCTCGAAGAAAGAGTAGACAATTGCATAGATCAAACCCATGTACAAGGTCATGAACAACAGAGCCGGGTCTTTGACGTTGACTTCCCAGGGCTTGATGATTGAACTCCACAGCCGCTGACCAGCCGTGAGCTTGGCTTGTTTGATCTCTTCCTCTGACATGTACCGTTGATCACCCGTCAACTCTCTGAGTCGCTTCGCCCGGTAATACAGGATGGTTGGTGCCGCCGTCTCTGGAACCAAGGCGACAAAGACGGCGAAGACGGAGCCCGAAATGATGAGGAGCTCCCAACTGGAGAATCTCCAACCCAGAGACTCGACAGCAAAGGACGACAACATCGGTCCCAAGGCCGGTCCCAAGGCCGTCGTGCACGCCCACAGCCCGATGAAGTATGGGAATAGAGTCGGGCCCCAGATATCGCCAAGCGTTGCCCCGGCGGTGGCCAGGCAAGGGGATCCCATGAAGCCTAACAGGAATCGGAGGACCATGAGCCCCGCATAATTGTCAACAAGCGACGTTGGGACGCACAAGACGACAAAGAGGGCTCCGGAGATGGCATAAGGGGGATTGCGTCCGATCGATGGCACCTCGGAGAGCGGCGAGAACAAGAGACCCCCCAGACCGTATGCCAGGACGTAGATGGCGAGACCGAAGGACGACTGGAAATTGTCCACGCCAAAGTGATGCTCGATGCCAGGCTGACTGGATGTGTAAATCGAAGAGCCGACATAGATTGCCCATGTGTAGACACAAGTCAGTGCCGTGATCACACCCTTCTTCACGCCAGAGAAGTTGAGTGGATTTTCGACATCGTCTGGCCCGTCCCAACCAACAAGGTGCACCGATTTCTCGTTCTCATCAGCCCGGCCCGTCGCTCTGACCGAGTTGCTTCCGGCCTTCTCAAGATCGCCGGGATGATGAGGCCAGTAGTGTCCGTGAAGGCATAGGCGGATTAATGCGCTCAAGGCAGAATTTCGAATCATTTGAGCCATCATTCGAGTCCGTGTCGGCTTGCTGGTGACGGTGAAGCTGGACAGAAGCCATTTTTGGCCCAAGTGACTGAGTCTCCCTTTTATACCAGCATTAAATCACCTCCACGCCCCTCACTCGGGTTGATGGTGGTGTTAGCGGAGATAAGTCTCGAGACATTGAGTCCGCAACAGCCTCGAAGCTGGGTCTTGATGAGCACCAGTTGAGATATTGCTAGTATCCAAGAGGGGGAACCAAACCATTTGCGGTCAACGACAGGTGGAGAGAGCATCAGAAGTGCCCGACTGGGCCGTTACATAGACACAGTTGTAAGATTGTATGTGGTTTCCTGCCATGGTGACCAGCACTGTCGCTGTCGGCTTCTTGTAGCAGAGGATGTTTGGACCGTGATACTTGGATGTCAGGTTCGTATCCATACAGTACAGAACAAGATGTGGTGGGAACTAAACTCGACTGGGTTTAGGGGATGCGAGACGCAAGACAAGGTGCCGAGGGTGTTTCAGGTGGGGTCACGTGCCTGCGGTTGGCATAAGAATGGGGATTCCCACCGTTGTGACAACACACGTTTCTTCGGTGGGATCTATTCCTCATCCTTCTCAAGATTAGCAATCAACCGAATATTCCTTTGCGAAAACACTTCCATCTGCTGCGCCTCCTGCTCGATGACCAGGTCTCTACGCAAAGCCTGTCGAGCCTGCACCGCGGCCAAACGGCGATGCATCGTGCAACTGCCTCAATGTACTCGGTGCCGGACCCGGCAGATCGACTGTGTCTACGACCTCGAACCCTTGATGGGCGGTACTTCAAGAGCCACTACCTCAGGATCCAGTACCAACCTGCTCAGCAGACCAATCGCCGATGACGAGGGCGACCTCTCGGTCAGCGCCAAATTCCTGCTTTACGTTTCATCTTTACACATGGATCCTAAAAGGGTTGCTCTCGAATGTTACAGGAACCCAACCACTCAATACCCTGTCG